AGCAATTCTCTGTCCTTCTTGAACTGAGGGGCCCAGAACTGGACACAAATATACTGCTAATATTCCACCCACTCAGCACTCTGCTACAACATGAAAACAGCCTTCAACTTGCCACAAAGTATACATGAAACAGCTTCCCCCAATACCTCTTCATTGCTGCTAAGTTCATTTGCACTGGCAGATTTACATTGGCTGTTAGCATCGATCAAGCTATTCCTCTTCTCCCAGAAGAGATTCCATTTTGCTTTCATATCTGGCCCTTCTGGTGCTAAGGATTCTTTGGAACTTCTGCTGCATGTCTTGGCTTTTTTGTTGCTGGCTTTGTTGCACTCTCTGGAAGACCTAGGCCCTCTAGATCTCAGTGTTTGGTGCTGGCTTGCTACTGATTCTTTGGCATTTGAGACAGATTTGGTGCCTTCTGCCTCCCTCTGCCTGGATATTGCAGACAGGCAGTGAGTCTTGTTCCTCTCTCTTGGCTCTTTTTCCACAGTTGGGTCTTTGGTGGCAGAAGTATCTTCTCTTTCCTCTTTAAGACTTCCTGAATGCAGATTCTGCATGGGGGGAGTTTTGGCCTGGAGACTCTGTTTGCTCTGTTTTTTGGTCGGAACATGCTTTGCAGAAGAAGATGCCTGGGATTTAACATATGTGGAATTCTTTGTTGTTTCCTGAGCCACTGGGCCCTTGGAGATCTTCCAGGAGGCTTTGCTGGAGCTCCTTTGGGTTGTTGTCTGTCTGCTGGGATGCAAGTCTTCTGGAAGATGTTCCTTTTCCCCTTCCTTAGGTTCTACTAAAAGACAAAAATAACAGCTCAATGAATGTAATACTGTTTTGATGACAGGTGGTATCATAAATGGAGCTGAAAACAACCAGACATGTTCTTGTGTCATTGTCAGACAACAAAATAAACATTAAAGGTCTCAAAGAGGGAAAGAAAAGTAAAAAAACCCAATGACCTAGCAGCGTTATACCAATCTTCCCACTGAACCAGGTGAAGGTTCCTGAAGAGTCTTAAATACTCTTAAGAAATGAACATGCACAGAAGTGTGGATGTAAATGTCTCATGGTCAAACATGCACACAAAGGTCTGTGTTCTCTTATGTGTAGGGGCCCCTCCAACCCATGATCAATCTCACTTTCATGAACATGCACTTGTAGTCTCTGCGGCTCATCGGTATTTGCTGATGAGTTTACAGCATAACAGTAGCTTAATTGTGCTTGTGCAGGGACGTAGTGAGGTAAGTCCACCAGAGGAGGAAGACATGCTTGAGGCTTAAGGACTTTAACCCATCAGCCTATGGCACATGGCACATGGGATCTCTGTCCAAGTAGTTTTCACTCATAGAGGTACATGTGTGAAGGAGGAGGATGACATACAGCCTCGCAAGCTGCACTGCAAAGCAAGCTCTGAAGGAGGGACAGCTTCCCTGCCATCTTGCTTACCTGAAGTACTGTTGGCCATCAGAGAGTCAATTTCTGCTCTGTCGGGTGCAGGGCAGGTTGGAACCTTTAGTACCTCCTTGGAAGAGAAACAAAGGCTGTGTCAGGCTCAGAGACAGGAAGGAAGGGGTCGAAGGCCCTGCTCATCTTTAGATGACATAGATTATTCTCACACAAATGCATTATATGCCTTCCCGGATCAAGATAGAGCTGCCCCTGCCTGCCTGCATGGTTGGTCCTACAACCCATGATCCTCTCAGATTAACAAAGCACAGAAATCCTGCAGGACTTCATATTAAGAGCTCACATGGAACAGCTTGCCTAGGACACGGCCAACCAGTGCCTCTGGAGAATACTGAGCTGCAAGAGTTTTCACAGACAGTGGTGCAGACACAAGTCAAAACACAAAAAAACCTCAATTAAAACGTCATTTTTTATTCTGAAGCACCTGGAGATGTCAGACCTGTCATATGCTGTACAATTACTACAGTTCTTTCCTTTGGTGCATTAAAGTAAGGCCAGAAAAAATGGGGAGAGGAGTTGATAAACATAAAATGCCTCTGCAACGCTAGCTTTGCAAAGGAAGAGAGACAGGCTGGAGACAAGGTAGTGAATATGGCAAATGTGAGCCAGCTCGCACTAGCAGCAGTACAAATGGGATCTGGATCAGGTAGGGATACATGTTTGCATTACTCAGATTCGCTCATGACATGGCATACAATGCTTATCTTCTGCTCTTGAGGCTAGTTATTGGAATGAAGACATGATTGTCAATGGGGTAGGGAGCCTACCACTTCAAGTTAACTCGCTGGGGCTGATTTGAACCCGCAGCTCGTGTTTTACACTGTGCCAGTCCTTCACAGCAGCACGTTTGGTACAATACTGGGATCCTGAAGCTGAAGTTACTGTATCAGTCAGACTGCAGGAGTCAGGGCTGTGTGCTCTGCAAATGTGCTAAGAGACAGGACCTCTCCCACAAAAAGAACAGGGCCACAAGAGATGAAGGGAGGAAGCCAGTCCTGGCTCACAGGGCAAGATCTGCTTTTTTTTCTGTTATCACTTTTTGTTCTTTTTAAAGAAGAGCCAAACATTTACACACGATCAAAGTGCAGGAATCTGTGTTGCTAAATAAACTCCTGTGTTAACTCCCACCTCCTACTTAAAACAAAAACACGTCTGTCTGTTATTATTACTATATTCAGTGGAAAGAACTTTCCAGTCTGCTGCTGTAGAAATTCCTTTTCTCCCATTTCTTCCAATGAAGCAGAATTTCTGTGTAATAAGGCTTATTTTCCAAATCCTGTTCATTGATAACTTTCATTTCCCCAGATCTTCCCAGACAAAATGATGCTGAAGACTGCAACTGTTCCTACTTTCTAGTTTGTAACTGTATATGATGTTACTGTTACAGCTTACTGTTCATTTTACTTCTGAGCCTGAAGGTCCAAAGTCAAAGCACCACTATGAGACTCCTACACCTTGATGCCCAAGACTTGAAGGCCATTTTACTGTCCTCCTGGATAACAAAAGCCACAGAACTATGTCTACGTATTCCTTTGCTAAGTCAATTCTGTGAGGGACAACAACCAACATACCAGAAAAGACATATCTTGATCAAAGAGCTAAAAATTATTAAACTTGATCTTCCTTTCTGAATGAAAAAAACCCAACAACCCAAAAACATACGTTTAGCATTGACTTTCCTGACATGCAGCTATGGAGGAAAGAGGGATGTGTCTTTCCCAGGCAGAAAATTAACCTCCTCAGACAGGTGTAGAAATTGGTATGCCATTCTCACCAGCTACCAGATGTGGTCAAGAATGGTCTCATATGCCTTTCACATCTGGCTGTCAAAATGACACTGGATTTTTAATTTTTTTTTTAAATATCCAGGATTTAACAAGAGGCAAAGCATCTTCCATAACTACCTCTCTCACCTGGTCCATGATTCCTGATGTTGTGCCACAGTGTTTCACACAAGCCGGCAAGTCTTGCTGAAGTCCAGGTATGGAGGTGGGATGAAGGATAAAGAGCAGCGATGGTTGCTAGGGAACAACCCCTCCCTGTGAGCTTGGTCTCCATAGGAACCTGAATAAACATGGCAGAGATCAGAGTTGTCCTTGCTGACTGAAAAAAAACAAACAAGGAGGAGAGTAAAAGGCTCAGGTTCTCATGAAACACCTGTGCCCAGAAGTTCTCATCACATGCACAGGATATCTTGGAGACTTTGGTTACACAGACACAATAATCAACCAGACTTTTATTTCAGCAGAACCGGATCTTCTAGCACTTCCAAATGCTTCACATGAGCTCACTGACCCCCATCAGAGAGGAAGAGGAAGGTGCCCCCATTTTCCACATTAGAAAGGGGTTGGTGGTGGGCCGTCAAAAGGTCAAAATCATAGTGTGGCTCTCCTGTGTCCAGCACCCAGTGCTATATTTTACTCCCAGACTTTTCACTTGTTCTGCTCCACCATGGACCTGAGCTCTTACCAGGCCACAGGAATTTCCACAAGTCTCCAGGGAAGAGCGCAACTCTCTTTAAACTCAACAAAGGCAAGTGTAGGGTCCTGCACCTAGGGAGGAATAACCCCATGCACCAGCACAGATTATGGGGTGACCTGCCGGAAAGCAGCTCTGCAGAGAAGGACCTGGAGGTCCTGGTGGACGAAAAGTTAACCACGAGCCAGCAATGTGCCCTTGTGGCCAAGAAGGCCAATGGTATCTTGGGGTGCATTAAGACGAGTGTGGCCAGCAGGTCGAAGGAGGTTATCCTCTACCTCTACTCTGCCCTGGTGAGGCCACATCTGGAATACTGCATCCAGTTCTGGGCTCCCCAGTTCAAGAAAGACAAGGAACTACTGGAGAGGGCTACAAAGAGGACGAGGGGACCAGAATAGCTCTCTTATGAGGAAAGGCTGAGAGACCTGGGTCTGTTTTGCCTGGAGAAGAGAAGGGATCTTATCAATGCTTATAAATACTTGAAGGGGGGCTGTCAAAAGTGTGAGGCCAGACTCATACCAGTGGTGCCCAGTGACAGGACAAAGGACAATGCATAGAAAATCAAATACAGAAAATTCAAGCTCAACATGAGGATAAACTTTTTTATACTGAGGGTGACAGAGCCCTGGACCAGGCTGCCCAGAGAGGTTGTGGAGTCTCCTTCTCTGGAGACATTCAAAACCTGCCTAGATGCTGTCCTGTGAAACCTGCTGTAGGTGATCCTGCTCTGGCAGGGGTTTGGACTAGGTGATCTCCAGAAATCCCTTGGTCCCTTCCAACCCCTACCATTCTGTGATTCGTGTTGTAAAGCTGCTTTTCCCATCCAGCACTAGCAGGTCACACAGCAATAGAGAAGAATTAGAAATACTCACAGATGCATCATCTTAGAAGTAGATTTTATTCACTGTAAGAAATCAAAAGATTGATAGAAATCTACTGATTGTTCTTAGAGAAACTGGCAAAATACAAATGAGCATGGTTTTGCTTTATTTCCACTTCCTGCCTTTCCCTGTACCCTGGGCTGGAGACAGCTGCTACATTTCACTGTTCAAGAAAAATACCTCTCCCTCTAGGCCTTGTTGCGCTTCAACTCGGAAACCTTGTAGCGAGCTGGGGCGCGGTGGAACCACTCTGACCAGGAGCCATCATAAACAGCCACATCACGCTTGCCACACAGGTAGGCTGCCAAGGCAATGTGGCATGCTGTGACACCTTTGCGGCACGTGGCCGCCAGTGGCTTCGAGAGATCTATGTTTTTCTTGCGGAATATTTCTTGGATCTCCTCAATGCTCTTCTCATGGCCAGTTTCGCTTAGGAATGAGTGGAAAGGTATGTTCACCGCCCCAGGGATGTGACCAGATTCCAGCCCTGCAAGAGTGAAAGAAGAAAAGGAAACATGAGCAGGGAGACATTCATGTAAGGGATGAAAGACACCTACAAAAGAGACATTAAAGAGACACCACTGCAGATACTCCCACTCTCTCCAAGATACTCATTTGTTGCAGGTGATGGTGAAGATGCAGAACAGTGTGGGGCTAAAACAAAGAGGACAAAGTTTATTCAACATTGCTGAAATCACAACTTCCAGAATGTTTAGCAAACTACTTATCCCTTGAAAACAATGAGAGGTAGGAATCTCTAGAAGCCCTATGTTAAAAAAGCCCATGGGTTTAAGAAGCAGGAAGTGTGGCTTACATGTGGAATTTGTGAAAGTCGTTATCTGATCACAGTTTATTCCTGTGTCAACTTAAAATCATATTTCAGTGAAGTAAAGCCACCTTAAAGTCAGCCACATTACTGCTGAGGCAGCTGCCCCAGGGCAACAGGGTCAGAGAAGGGAGAATTTAGATTCTGTATCACTTCTTATCCATTCCATGGGTGATATCAGCATGGGTTCTGTTTTTCTACTGGTATAACTGACCACTTCGGGCAAGCTGAAAGCTGCATCTCAAGAACAAGGTCTTCAGAGAGAAGCAGATATAAAATACAATCGGTAAGATCTTCATCACACCCTTGAAATTCAAACTCCTCCGCTACAGGCTTAATCAAAGTCCATCACACTCAATGGAAGCTTTTCCACTGACTTTGAGAGGCTTTGGACCAAGCCTTAGTGGAGCAGGGAACATTATAAATTATGTTGAAAATGCATTTCAATGAATGGTTCCTTGCTAGATTTGGACTTCTAATGAGACAGCCCTGGTAATGTCACATAAATAGTAATCTGTTTCACTGACAGCTTTCCGCTTGCCTAAGTCATCAGGGCGACTGATCTCAGGAGGTGGGAGAGACTGGGGCAGGGAGCCTCTGCCACAGTCAAATGATTAAAGTATACTGGGTCAGAGACTGACACCACACATCATAAAGTCAGTGCAATTTAATTGCTCATGGAGAGTGATGTCATGACATTAGATATGTTATTAGGGGAAAACAGGGTTTTGGCAGGGTATTGATGGGATTTTTGCTCTGCTGGACAAAGAGTGAGAGCCTTAAGACAAGCAAAGTTGGCCTGAGTCAGCTTCACAAGATCTCTCCCTGTTCCAGATGGACCCTCTTTGTCCCTTGATTCATCCTCCCTGAGTGCCTTACAAATCTGGCACTGTTGTCACCTCATGCATCCTTCGGAAGTGTTACGCATTACAGCAAGAATATGGGAGAAAAACTGCTGACTTCTGGAGGGACCAGTATTTAAAAAAAAATAAATAAAAGAAGAAAGCAAAACCAGTGTTTTGAACTGCTGCTTCACCACACTTTTTTCCAGTTCCAGAAAACAAGAGTTCATCACTTCAGTACAGAGAACTGCAAAACCTATGCTCATTAATATTGTGTCTGTATGACAGAGGGAAAAATAAAAGTAATACAAAAAATGAGTGTGAGAAAACCTCATGTCCTGGTTTGAGCTAAATAGAACTAATTCTCTATTCAGTGATTTTACTTTTCAGCTCAGTCTCTTTTAAGTGACTGAACTTGCTGAAAACTGGCAGCATGTCTTTCCCAAACAGCGCTGCTACAAGATATGCTCAAGATCAGTTGTCCCATCATGGGTGCCGTGTCTGTGCCTATGGGGAGTGGACCCAAAACTGACCAACGAGCTATTCCATCCCACATACGTCATACTCGGTAAAAAAACCAAGAGATCATGAGGGTCTCGCTCCCTTTTCACCCTTCTTCCATCTTGGAGCCCTTCCATCTCAGAACCTTCTGTCCGTCTCGATCCTGCAGAGGCCAAGGCCTGAGCAGAACCCTGCTGGTTCATCTGCCGCTGATCCTGATTTGTGTGTCCTGCATCCTGCTTCCACCTGCTGCTGAGTTCGGTCTTGAACTTTTCCAGTGTCCGGCTCCGCAGAGCCTCTGGTGACGTATTCATCATTGGGGGGAGGGGGGGGGGAGGATTTCATATTGGTTTTTGTATATATTTGTACATATCTGTATATATTTCATTATTTTCATATTTACAATATTATCCTGTAGTATTATTGTTTCATTAAATCTGTTAGTTTATTTTCCAACCCGTAAAGTCTCTCTCCCTTATTCTCTTGTCTCTTCCCTTCTGGGGAGGGGAGAGGGGTTAATAGAGAGCGTCTGTCCAGGATTTAGTGGCCGGCCCAGCCCTAAACCACGACACCTCATTTGTAGCTCTCAGACTGCAGAGCTTCTTATCGAAGAGTTACAGACCTGCATTAGGCTACCACTTTCCCATGGAGTGGATGGTCCTGACCCTGTCATTTGGCAAGGAATTTCTGCAAGGCTCTGCTGCAGCACTGGTGATCACCTCAATCCAGACAAGTCTGTGAGCTGCAGGACACTGGTTTCACACCATCATAGGGCACTCGGAAGTGTACTGAGATCAGGAAGTCCTGGAGGCTGAACCAGGAGGGCCAGCTCTTGCTCAGAGAGGTTTGCTGGGCCACTGATTCAGTTCTTAGATGTCCCAGGCCTCATGGTCATGATGCTTTTCTAGACTGTTCACACATCTTAAAATAGGTAGGTTTATACCCCTCTCTTACTGTGACATAACACTCACCACCCTTAAACAACTCTAGTTAGGAGCTGAGTAGATCTGAAAAGAGCAGTCTCATTTTAAAGCATTTTTGACTTTGCTCTATAGAGAGACCTTCCTGCTCTGTTGGAGTCGGAGACCAGCGCTCGCACTCTGTGAGCGAAAGATGGGGAATTCTGTAGAAACAGCATTTACTCATGGATATGGGTGTTCAGCTGAAAGAGCTGACATTGCACAACCACAGCCCCTTGAACTGCCTAAGAAGCGCTCTCGAGTGGTTAAGGAAGTTTTATCAGCTCTCTGCTAGAACAAAAGCAGAGAAATGCAGGACTGGAAGGCAAGGCCGGATGCAGCTGGGATCTGAACAGGCAAGAGGATACATCTGCTCCTGCCTCATGTGACACCGAGCATACTCCAAGCCAGATTCATGCAGCCACCCTTAGAAACTCCAGGAAGGAACCCTAGGATTAGAGTCCAGATCCCAGCTACTGCAGTGATCACTTTATAGGTTCCCTATAAAGCATACATCTCAGAAACAGTTTGGGTTCCTGCCATGAAACTTCCCACTGAGGCACCTCCTTGCTCATGGGAGAAGGAATACTCATTTCCAATGTTAAGTTTGCCACAGTCAGGCCATACACTATTTATCCTAACATCACCCTACAGTTGATATAGTTTTTGTCCCTTTCTTTTTCCCCAACACTCTGATGGTGAGCACTCAGCACCCCCAATGGCCTCATGCCCTTAGCCCAAACCCAGTAAGAGCTCAATCAGATGCATTTTTCACTGCCTTACCCCCTCATAAGTAGCTCTAGGTGACCACCAGGCTCCTGGATGAGGAAGTGGCATTTCCTAGCATCTAAACTGGTAGACAGGAGGCTAATAACTGCTGTTGTCAAGGCCAAATAGTATCTGAGGTTCTCACACCCAACTAATTCAGCCAAATCTTACCCTCTTCTGTTGCTTCCAAATGTGGGCCTTCAGCTTGTAAGAGAAACACAAGCAATGAAGTGTTTCTGGCTACTGCGTATCCAACCTTGCTCACTGTAGTGCTACGCTTCCTGTCACTTCTATGACTGCAGGTGGCACCTCACACAATGTGATCATTGAAACCTTCCCAAGGCTGTGCCAGCAGCACATTTCAGTAGCAGCTCCCTATTTCCAGTGCCTCAATGATTCAGAAAAATATGAAATAAAACACAGAAGCATAATGATGGGACCGTGCTGGCAACTTCCAGGCCCACAGATTTGCTTTCAGCACAAGCCATTCCTATGTCTCTTACCTCCCTTTCAGTCACTTTTTTTGGTCAGAAATCTAACAGTGCTTGTGCTATTTGGCCTCTTCTCACATTTAACTAATAATTACCCCTCTAATATTATGTCCACAGTCCAGATCGAACAAGTCTACCTTGCAGGTGCTGGAAGAAAAGATCAGACGTAACTTCCAGGCATGCATGTTCCCATTTCTCTTATCTGGCAAATCAATTCTGTTGGCAAGGAAATAGCCTTTAGCTGCAATGCAAGTTCACCAAAGTATTTCATTCAATTTTGACTTCACTTCAAATAACTTTTCTTGAAGTGTCTTTTGAAAGCCTTCCAGTCTCTCCATGTTATGATCATAGATCAACAGCTGCCCAGGTTGTGCTGTACCTCCTATCCTAAGTACAAATATAAACTTCTCTGGTGTTTCTGTCCTACAGAACCATGCTCTGATTATATTTGCTAAATTCTTGCCTCATGGAGTTGCAATGTCACATGAATGTTTTTTGACACATATTTGGGATGGGGGATCATCTGCCTCACAGACCTGAGCACATGGATATCTTTTGGTTATACTCCCTTTTTAGAAATTATAATTTCCACTTCATTCCCCTTCTTCTTGCTACTCCTCCCCCTACTCTGCAGACTTATCCTCAGGAGAAAAAAAAAAAGAGGTAGCACAGGCTCAGTATAATTCAGAGACTGTACATAAATAATCTTTCATCTGGAAACCCTGCTAACTGTATAGTAACCGTATTTACTCTCTCTGTCCTTGTTCTCTTTTTATTCACTTTGCTCCAGCAGTTTTTGTTATTTGTTTTAATTCCTTTTGCCAAGTCTCACTCAGCTTGGCTTCTGGCAGTCCTCCCTCACAATTTGTATTATGTTATCTTCTTCACTGCTTAATCCTCTTTTCCACATCTGTTAAGATTTTCTGCTTAAATATCTAATTTTTTTTGTTGTTGGCTGTTTATCTAGCTAAGACTACAGCCCCTTCTCTCTAGCCTTGCCCTTTGCAATGAAAGCTCCAGATGCAATTTCTTAACTTAAAAAGATAAAAGATGTGCCCTGTCCACACTTAACTCTCCATGCTCTTGGAGCTGGCTGGCAGCAGATAGCTGCTGCTTTCCAAACGCCTCCTCTGTTGCCTCCTTTTTTTTCCCCCTTTCTCTCAGTTAAACTGTATGGCTCAGAAGGGACTATCAGTGATCTCACCTAACCTACCGTGAGCTCATTAGAAGAAATACTTTAATCTTAGTCCTGGCCAGCTCCCTGAGAAGCCCTTGCAGTCAGATCAATAGGACTTTGCCACCAATGACAAAACACTGTGTGTGCATACAGCCAGAAGAGGCAACTCTTAAGAACCAGGAGGGCCACAGTGCTAATTCTGGCAGGTGACGTTTGTCAACCTCATCACATGAACAGCTTTGGACAGTAGGTTTCTGTGGGTTGAAACAGATTTGGATGAAGTCTCTCACTCTTCAGGTTGTGCCTTGGGTATTACTTCACTGTCAAAGTAGAGCCAGTTCTCTCCCAGCCGCAGACTCCACTCGGAGATGACAGTGAAGGAGCAGCAACACTTCATTCTCACTGCCACTGAACATTCATCCTGAGCAAAAGCTTCACGTTTGGGGCTGGGAGGACTGAGAGCTGGGAAAAATCGGCAAAACCTTCAGAGCTGTGCAAGGCAGAGAAGGACTACACAAGGGCTGAGAAAGAAAACAGTTGGAAGCTCATGACACTTCGGGCTTGTGTTCTATTTTAGATGATGGGTTTCTTGTCTGGCAACTATCCCCTCTTTTCTCAGGGGTCTGCAAGACAATTCAGAAATTCACAACTTTTCTGTACGCATTTGTTCAGCTATAATTCCTGTTTGTCAGTTCTCAATGCCCAATACTCAGAGAGAGCCAGCACTAGTAACCATCATGTCATTATTTTTATCATCTGCCTCTGAATTGCCTGTGGTGATCTCAGTTCAGGCTGGCTCCACAGACCCGCACCCTACAGCGCCTGAGCACGCAGGCCCTTGCAGAACCTGGCTGGGCCATTGCTGAATCACAGCTAGTGAGCAGGCCTGAGCCCTTGGGTCCTCCAGAAAGGACACCTTTAACCACACAGTGCACAGGTCAGGGCTGCACATCTGATGGGCTTATGCACCACAACATGCATGAACATCCAAGCTTTTTAATCCAAAACAATATCTGCATTTAAGACCTATGAGACCTGGCTTATAGAAACGCCGTCCATTTTTCTCCACCCTAGCAACCTGGGTGAACCTCTCCCAGCAAGTAAAAATTAGCCACATATTACGACTTATCTTAAGCACTACAGAGGTCTAAATCCCAGCAAGGTAGCTGCTGCATAAAAATAAAACAGGGAGAGCTAATTCCTACCACAAGGAACTGAAACACTAAAGAGGCAGAAGCGTCAGCTGAAATTAGCCTCTTCTAGAGATGGAGTTCATGGAACCGGAGAGATTAATTGACTTAATTAGGAAGTCAAGAGCTGAGGCAATAATTAAACTGAAATCACCTGAGAACACAGCAAGTTCCTTCACCTCAAGATCATTCTTCTTCTCTAAATTGCAGACGTTTCTTCTCCCTGATTGGATGACCCCTGTAATTAGTCAGCATTGATTTCAAATTGCTCTTGTAGGTGTAAGCGCTGCCTTTTACCCGCTGCTGGCTGCAGCACAGCTACTGGCTGGCCTGGTGCAGGCGGCTGTCGGGCTCCTGTGGCATGAGCAGCTGCAGCTGGAGCGCTCATCCTGCTGGATCTGCTGTGGGAAGCAAAACTGGACCACCACAAATACACTGCTCCATGCTGACTCATTTCAGAGGAAAAAATCTGTTCTCAAGACACTGTCAGGGGCTGCGGTATTTGCCACCTGGTGACAAGTCCCACTTTGAGAAAGAATGCGAAATCCTCCAGTGAGGAGCATTTTATTCACGTCTTGAGGTTAAAGATCAACCTTCGCTGTGATGGGTTTCAGTAGGCAAAGAAATGCAATAAGCAATAAACCCAACTGCCCTGCTCTCCCTGCAACAGTCTCCTCCGTCACTCCCATTACCTTTCACACCTTCTGTGTTGTCCTGCACAGGCTGAGAACATTTGAGGGGGGCTCACTGTAGACACTTATATGAACCATGTGTACAGAGCCATTTACAGCCAAACGCTCCTAAGACTCGTACACGGGAATTTATTTCGGGACCCGGTGTCACACTCAGTGGCTGTACTGCAGCACACGTGTAAGAAAACAGCCAGAGCAGAATGACAACCGGCCTGCAAGGCAGCGGTGCAGTGCTGCCTCAGGCCCGCAGAAGCCTGCGGGAGCTCCCAGACCCAACAACCATTGCTGAGCTCTTCTGTGCTTTGTTTTTTAAATTCTGCATTTCTTTTCAAACCACTTCTGTGATTCCCTTTTGGAGGAGAGGTTATTCTGGGATACATAAAGGCTTAAATTACAGAGTCAAGGCCTCCTTTAACAACCAACTTGTATTTAATTCTAGGCACACTGCTGTATCAGCTGTCCCCACAGGATTTCTCCCACCCCTGCTGCTTGTGTGTCCAGTGTTTGACCGAAGTAACAAATTCAATTTTTGTTCCTGTTACTTGGGACATCCAAAAGAAAGAGGCTGACAGCCCATGCATTCAGGAGGGGTTTGGGGCTTTTCTTACTTAAGCTTGGTAGGGACACAGGGTCAGGACTGTCTGGAAGGGCCCATCCCTTGCTGTGTCAAGGCATGACCAGGGGCTGCAGCTCAGGGTGGCAGCTTGGCACCTTTTTCCATTAGTCTCTGGTGAGCTGCTAAAGGGACATGCTTTGCCTCCATCTGCTCCCTCACCTCCAGGAATGGTGTTGCCACTCTCTGTGACTTGTTCCCTGCTCATATAGTGTGTTTGGGATGGGATGGGTTTGTCTTACCTGGCTTCTCCCCCAGAAAGGAGCTATGAACTCTTTCCTAGCCTGTCCGAGACTCACCTCCCCTCTTCCCCACAAATGTCCACATTTTTCCAGCTCATGAATGGTACAATTTGGCAGGCAGCAAAAGGACAAAGATCAGCTCAAGCAAGTCCTCTATTTGCTGGGAACCAGAGCGAGAAGGAAAAGGTCTCTTGAGTTACTGTATTGCCTAAAACACGGGCTTTTGCTGGTGCATTCATTATGATTAGAGGTGCCTGTATGAATACTGATAGTTTGAGTGTGTCTGCTAGCGTTAGATAGGGCCCTGAACAAACCCCTGGGGAGCTCTCGCCTCCCGTGTTTGCATTCTGTCTGATAAGCTTCAGCAGGGTGTGGGATGGGGGATCTGGGAGCCAACTGACTGCAGAACTTTTCTGGTTTTCTCTCCTGCAGCAGTACAACCAACTACAAGTAAAGCAACCTCTAAGGGCACAGGGATCCAAATGCTCAACTGTGGATCCCTTAAGGTAAATCGAGTTACGCTGAAGCATGTCTGTGCATTAGGAAAATCTGTTTGCTGGCTGGGAGGAGTTGTTATGCCAGGACTTAGTATTGGCACTCATCCCTCTCTGGCGCAGGGGGTAGGTGCCGTTCCCACCTCCATTACCTTGGTCCAGCTCGGTCCCCCGGAACCGGCCCTCAGGGCGGGAATCCACCACCTGGAACTGCAGAGACCCCACGTTCTGCATCATTTCCTCGAAGGTCTTCAGCAGGGTTGTGTTCAGCCTGGCCTTAAACGTGCCCGGGGTGGGTTGGCTGACCTCCGCCGTGACAGGGTGGCCCTCCTTCACCCAGTTCTTGAAGCCACCGTTCAGCACAGAGACCTGCTTGTGTCCAAAGGCCCGGAACATCCACCAGGCACGGGGAGCATAGAAGGTGCCCAGCGCATCCCCGTCGTACACCACCACATGGGTGTCATTGCTGACCCCCAAGCGCCCCACGTAGTCGGCGAAGTGGGACTCGCTGGGCAGCATGAAGTCGTAGGGGGAGGACTGGTCCCGGCACTCCTCGATGTCGAAGAAGGACGCCCCGGGGATGTGCCTCTCCTTGAACTCCTGCCGGGCGTTTCGCTCCTGCGGCGGGTACCAGGAGGCATCCAGCACTCGCAG